AGCCAGCCTAGCTTCCCCCTGTTGTTTGTTGGTTCATTCATTCATTCAGCACTCACGTGCTGAGCGGCCGCCCTGGGCCCGGCTCCCCTCCTGCAGGGGCTCCCACAGGGTCAGTGAGCTTCTCGCTGGAGCATGGGGCTTGAGAGGCTCTGGAGGCCCCAGCAGCCACCACAGCTGGGGAGCCCTGGAAGGCTCCTGGCACAAGTGGTTTTCAAAAAGTTATTGATTTTCTTACTAATCTTATTTTTAGGGGGAAGGCAATAGATGCATGTGGTTAAAAAAACAAAAGTTAAAAGAACAAAATAGCAAATATACAACGAACAGTAAGTTTCCCTTGAACTTGATACTCACTACTCCTTCCCATTCCCAGAGACAACCTCTGTTATCAGTTTCTTCTATCTTTCAGAGATATCTATCTTTCATATCTAAGGTTAGGGGTGAATGGTATGTCCTTTAAAAAAACAATAATTTGTAATATACCACGGGTGATGTCCTGCACCCTGCTTTTTTTTTGGTCTTTGAGTATTTCAGACCCACCAAAAAGCTGAAATAATGGTGTAATGAATACCCATGTATACTTTACCCAGTTTCACCAGTTCTTAACGTTTTGCCACATTCGCTTTACCTCTTCTTTTATATACATGGACATATGTGTATACGTATTTTTTTTTGCTGATTTATTTGAGTGTTAGTTGCAGGCATCGTACCTTTCTCTCCTGAGTACTTTATCGTGTATCTCTTACATAATCACAGTACCATGATCACACCTAAGAAAATTAACATTAATTCCATAACATTATCTAACATTTTCATTTTCCCAGTTGTCCCCAAATGATCTTTATAGCTATTTTTTCCCTCTGATCCAGAATCTTATTCAGAATCACTCATTGAATCTTGCTATCATGTGTCTTTTCTTTTTTTCTTTTGCAGCTTTGTTGAGATATAATTGCGATTTAATGTTGTGTAAGTTTAAAGTATACAGTGTGATGATTTGATATATGTGCATATTGTGAAACGATTACCACAATGAGGTTACTTAACACATCATTCACCTCACATAATTACCATTTTGTTGTTGTTTCATGTTTCTTTTGTGTCTTGTTTAATCCAGAACATTCCCCAGCCTTTCTTTGTTTGTTTTGTCTTTTATGACATTGACTCTAAGAGTCCAGGCCGGTTATTTGGTCTCTGTCTGCCTACGTCTTCCTGATTGGAGTCAGGTTAAGCAGCTCTGCGGGCCCATCACACAGAGGATGCTGTGCCCTCCTTAGTGCAGGAGGCACTCAGTGTGCGCCTCTCATTATTGGTGATGCTTAATTTGATCACTCGGTTAACGAGGTATCTGCCACATCTCCCTGTGGTGGAGGTGCTTTTTCCTCTCTCTGATTAATCTGGAGGGTGGTACTGAGATGCCATGTCACTGTCCTATTCCCCCAGCAACGTTTCCTTCGTGACTTGAGCTGGCTTTCTGCCATTTCTACTTACTCTATCGTGGGGAGGTTTCTGTATCAGCACCCAGAGATCCATCCTGGCCCCATAACAGCTGGAGTTGTGTTGTTGCCTTTTCAGGCTATCTGGTCATGTATTTACTTGGTTCTTTATTAACGGACATAAAGGTTTCTCCCAATCTCTTGTTACAACAAACAGTACTGCAGGGACTGTCCTACTACATTTTCTTAGGCACACGTGCAACCCCTGAAGGTTGAATGGAAGTTCCTTGGGTAGAGAAGGGGGAAGGAGTGGAGAGGGAATGCCAAGGTGGGAAGGTGGGTGGGGTACCAGGGTCCTAGGAGCAGCGGGTGAGAAAGGGATCTGGTTCAGGTGCTGGAGAGCCAGTGAGTCCCAGAAGGGTCAAGGGACTTTCCCAAGGTCACACAACAAGTTGGTGGCAGAGCCAGGAACAGGACTCAGAGCCCTTGACTCCCTGGACAAAGTTCCTGCACTTCTTCCACAAAGTGGCCTGAAACAAGGTTCACATAACCCTGGAAGGGCCCCTCTGTGCCTGATCAAGGCCTGACTAGAGGCCTAGGTTTGCAGTAGCCCCTCCCAGCCACTCTGACTCTTGGCCTCTGACCTGGAAGGGGATAGCCCGGCTGGACCCTCAGAGCCCTAAGGACGGGACCTTCCTGGCCTCATGACTTCGCCAGGGAGGAGCCATCAGAGGGGGTCTGCAGCTCCTGCTGGCAGGATTTCTGTGGGAAGAAAGCAGGCTTCAGAACAGCCCTGGGAGCTGTAGGGTTGTCACCAGCCCATTGTACAGATGGGGAAACTGAGTCCTGAAGTCATAGCCAGTAGAGCAAAGGGGAGAGGCTAGCTCCTCCCTCTCGTTTCCATATCTGTCAAAACCCAGACCCTCAAGGCAGGCCACCCTGACCCTCCTGGCCTTGCCCCTTCCTCTGAGCACCGCTTGATTCTCCCTCTTCCCTTGCACTCTCTTTTTGAGGCCAGTGTGGTCCCAGCCTCCTGGCAGCCCCCGCATGGTGCGTGCACATGAGGCAGGAGGCACCAGGGGTGGGGGTCGAACTGGCCTGCTGGCTCAGGCATGTGACATCTGCGTGGGGCAGGACGCTCACTGGAGGTGTAGCCTCAGGTAAGGCCACTTGCCTCTCAGCCTGGCTCATCTGTAAAATGGGGATAATAATAGCCTCTCCCTCTCAGTTGTTAGAGGATTTGATGAGCCATAATGTGCCAAGGACAGGGCGCAGCACAGAATAAGTGCTCAGCAAACAGGACCTATTATTATTTTTGTTATTATCATCTAGTCAGTGGGGAGGCGGCAGCAGCAGCTGCAGGCCTGCAGGGGAGGGAGTGTTTGCAAACTGACAGCTGGGAGGGTGACTAATGGTGCCTCAGCCTCCTCGCCCTCTCTCCCTTGGTGGTGGTGAATCTTGCGAGGGAGGGGGAGGCAAGGGGATGTGGAGAGCTGGCAGAGCCCCTATTCAGAAGGTCTTGAAGATTGGGGACCCAGCCAGCCACAGAGGGACCCCCGTTCAAGTTCCGGACCATCGCCCCTAACTAGCTGTGCGACGTAGGGCAAGTTGTTCAAACCTCATGAGCCTCAGTTTCCATTTCTATAAAATGGGGGCAAGAGGAGCTCACGGCTCCCACATGTGGTTCTTGGGGGCCTGGAGGTGCTTCCTATACTCATGGTGGCTCAGTTGTGTCAATGTATGTGTGTGTGTAGGGGTGTCCAGGCTCATCCTTCTTGTGCCCCAGGCTCCCTGCCCAGATGGCAGAGGTTGACGGGCTGGCCTTGGGACAGGAAGCACTATGTATGCCGGGAGGAAGGGAAGCCTGGAAGTGGGGCCTGGACGCAGTGGTGCTTCTCCCCACCTCTGTTCTCCCCGGCTCCTTCTGGTCTCCAAGACCACACACTCCCCTGCTGAGGCCCACAGACCCCATGGCCCTCAGAAGCAAACCCTGTTTCCTCACGTCAGCATTTGAAGCCCCCGCATCCCTGCAAGTTTTGTGCCAGGCGGACCCAGTACACACGGTCCCCTGCCGCAGACTGACGGGGTGCTCAGACCATCAGGGTCTGTTTCCCGCCCTCCTCACCATGGGCTTCCAGCCTGGGGTGCCCCTGCCTTTTTTAGCCCTCTAACCTTCAGGGCTCAGCTCCAGCGCTCCCTCCTCCAGGAAGCCCACCTAAGCTCTGCAGTCCTCACTCACCTCACACCCCTAGGCACTTGCACTCAAATGTCTTCTTCCACCGCCTGGCCTGGGGTAGGTGGTAAAGTTTGTTAGTGTCAACCAGGCCCCAGGCCTTGTGTGTCCTGCAAATGAGCCTGGGAACAAGGCACATGGAGGAGGTTTTCTTCTAACATACTGTGAGCACGGAGGAGTCACTGGCCCTGTCTGAGCCTCAGTTTCCTCATCTGTCAGAAGAGAACAGTAGCCCCATCCCTCTGCTTCCTGGGACAGGTACTCGGGGGCTCTGGGCTGTGTTTAGGAAGATGCTGGTCATAGAGGGAGTGCTGAGCTGGCGCCACAAAGAGTATGTGTGCAAGACGGGGTTGACTAGCTGCTCTTGGGGCGTGGGGTTGGCTGAGGTAGCTATCTCGGGGTAGTCAGTTTTACTGAAGTAAACACATACACCAGAATGTATACCAGCCACAAGGGTACAGCTCAGTGAAGCGCTACAGAGTTGAACTTGCCCCCTTCCAGTCGCTGCCTCCTCCAAGGGGAGTCGCCATCCTGCACTGGAAAATCCCCTGACTGTGGAGTTTATACGAATGGAATCACAAGGCATGTGTGCTTTCTGTCTGGCGTCTTGGTTAGCATGTTTGGATGCATCAGTGTTGTTTCGTAGCTGTAGTTTATTCATGTTTACCGCTGGCCAGTACTCTGTGAATGTACACAGTTTATCCATCTCACTCCTCACGGGCGTCTGGGCAGTTCCCAGTGTGAGGTTCGTTACAGACCGTGCTACTGCGTGTGCTCCTGTGCCTGTGTCAGCAGTGCCTGCCCTGTTTTCTCTTGGGTGTGTGCTGGGAAGTAGGGTTGCCAGGCCATGGGGTTGGCATACGTTTGGCTTCAGAGATACTGCCTGGGTGAGTTTTTATAGGTGACAGAACTAAGAGGCCCACAGAGGACAAGGGACTTTCCCAAGGTCCCAAGCACCTTCCCCAGGTTCACAGCTGCCCTGTGGTCCCCCACAGACCACTTAGCTGATATCCAGCCATGGGGGGCTGGTGGGGCAGACACTACTTACCCACTACGCTTTGTAGCCTCTGTTGGTCATTCCAAGGGCTGTAAGGCCACAATGGGCTCAGGGTTGACGGCCCTCTGTCCTTGGGGGTCCTCAGCCTTCATCCCCTGCCTCCTCCCCTGCCCCGTGCCCTCAGCCTGCTGAGACTGGAAAGGACAGCCCTTGCCCCAGGTCCCAGCTCTGGAAGCCTCTGGCATCTGTTCGCATTGCTATGGGGAAGGAGTAGGGTCTCAGTGATGGAGGGAACCATCTCCTCTCACAACCTTCCCTCAATCTTCCCCTCTCCCCACAGCTCTCATGGTACCAAGTGACAGGTTGGCCTTCCTGTGACACGGTGATACCAGATCTTCTGAGAAGATGTCGGCAATTCAGGTACTGCAGGGGCAGGGGTCTAGGGCAGTGGAGTATCCCCACCACCACCACGGGGGTGCTCAGAAGAGTGAGAATGAGGATTCAGGTCGATTCATTCCCCTTTTCCCCAGTCCTGGCTTTCAGCAAAATGGAATTCCAGGGCCCACTGTCAGATGCATGGCCCTCAAGATGGGAGCACAGGTCTGGGGGCCGTGGGGAAGTCTCAGCTAGAAGACACCCAGAGCTCTCCAGGGGAAGGGCACCTCACCCAGACTCAGGGAGGCCAGCCAAGAGGCTGTGACCTTGAGGGCTTGCAGGTGGGTGGGGCCCCAGGCTTCTCCGCCCACGTGTCGCCTGCCCTGCAGGCTGCCTGGCCATCCGGTACAGAATGTATTGCCAAGTACAACTTTCACGGCACTGCTGAGCAGGACCTTCCCTTCTGCAAAGGAGATGTGCTCACCATTGTAGCTGTCACCAAGGTAACCAGGGACTTCACACCCCTACCCACTGGGTTTTGTCTCCCCTGCACGGGAGGGTGGGTTTTGTCTCCCCCGCATGGGAGGGTGAGCCTGAGAGCGTGTCTGGGCTCCCCTCTCCCCAGGACCCCAACTGGTACAAAGCCAAGAACAAGGTGGGCCGTGAGGGCATCATCCCAGCCAACTACGTCCAGAAGCGGGAGGGCGTGAAGGCAGGCACCAAGCTCAGCCTCATGCCGTGAGTACCTCTGGGTATGGTTGGGAATTCCCAGTCTGGGAGGAAGGAGGACGGGGAGCCCTGTTACCCCTAGAAGAGAGTCCGGAGAGCAGGGAGGCGAGAGTGAGGGGCTGGGATGTCCGTGAGGGCCTCTTGAGACGAGGGCAAGGGCATGGGTGCCGGACCTCAAAGGGGAGGACGGAGCTAGGAGGGCTGAAGAAAGAAGGGCAGGAGGCAGAGGATGAGGGCCTCCAGAGCCTGTCTGAGCCCTGAACTGTGGAGAGGTGCCAGCCAGAGGGAGGGCCTTCGGGACGTGGAGCCTGGCAGTGCCCTTGGGCCACCATGACCCCAGGCCTGGCCTCCCCGCAGCTGGTTCCATGGCAAGATCACGCGGGAGCAGGCAGAGCGGCTCCTGTGCCCACCAGAGACAGGCCTGTTCCTGGTGCGGGAGAGCACCAACTACCCCGGGGACTACACTCTGTGCGTGAGCTGCGACGGCAAGGTGGAGCACTACCGCATCATATACCACGCCAGCAAGCTTAGCATCGACGAGGAGGTGTACTTCGAGAACCTCATGCAGCTGGTGGAGGTGAGCAGAGCGCGCCGGCCCTGATTCCAGCTACAGTCCCACCACTCTAGCTGGATGACCTTGGGCACGTCCTGCAGCCTCTGCAAGCCCACGTTTCCTCATGCCTCGATAGAGCCCGTGCTGTGTGCCAGCGTTGAGCTCTGACCCCACAATGCCTGCACAGGGAGGTGGTACCCCAGTTCATAGGCCAGGAAACAGAGGTTCAGAGCGGTTAAGAGACCTGCCTCTGGTCACACAGCTGTGACTTGGAGGCGCCAGGACTAGAATCTGAGTATTCTGATCCCAGAACTAGCTTCCTTCCAGCCACTCATAGAGCTGTATGCCCAGCTGTGTGAACGTAAACATGTCCCCATGAGCTTCACCTTGACGGCCCACATGTCCCTGCAGCTCCCAAGGCCATCTCTACCCCAGGCAGCCTCCAGATGCCTCCTGTACTCACTCTCAGCACCTTCCCCCTGTTGGCCTGGGTTGGCCTATGACAGGGGAGGGTCCTGTGCACACCTGGCTAGAGGCTGGTATTAGACTGAGCCAGGGCTTGTCCTCTGCTTCGGGATGCTGGTGAGGCCCAGAGTGATCACAACAACCCGGTATCCGTCCAGCACCTGGGTGTGGGGTAGCATGGGAGATGGACCATGTGTCTGGGGCCTCCCTAACCCCTGCTAGAAATGGAGAGCCCTCCTGACCCAAAGCATCTCTGGGCTGGGTGGGACCGGCCTCTGCTGCCATCTGGTGGTCAGACCAGGGCAGTGCACGGGAGCCGCGGGTGGTACACAGGGGGCTGGCCCTGATCGCCTGCCCTGCCCTCTACAGCACTACACCTCAGACGCAGATGGACTCTGTACTCGCCTCATCAAGCCAAAGGTCATGGAGGGCACCGTGGCGGCCCAGGATGAGTTTTTCCGCAGTGAGTGCCATCCCCCCACGCCCACTCCTCACTTGCCCACCCGCCTCCTCCCACCCGGGCTTCCTGGCACTACCCCCTCCTGGAGGCTCTGGAGACGTCCAGGGGACCCCACATAAGTCACAGTCCAGTCTGCTTCTGCTGTGACCCCCGCTCTGGCTTCAGCACCCCTCACTCACCACCCACTCCCCCCACAGGCGGCTGGGCGCTGAACATGAAGGACCTGAAGCTGCTGCAGACCATTGGGAAGGGGGAGTTTGGAGGTGAGCCAGAGAGGGTGGGAGCCCTAGGAGAGGCTGATGACTGGGGGGAGTCCAGGAAACGACCCCCAACTCTCTTGCCCCAGACGTGATGCTAGGTGACTACCGAGGGAACAAAGTCGCCGTCAAGTGCATTAAGAACGACGCCACTGCCCAGGCCTTCCTGGCTGAAGCCTCGGTCATGACGTGAGTTGGGGCAGGGGGTGGGGAGGTCACCCGGGGCCAAGAGGTGATGGGGAGGCTTGGCAGGCTCTGACCACCCCGTCCTGCCCCAGGCAACTTCGGCATAGCAACTTGGTACAGCTTCTGGGCGTGATCGTAGAGGAGAAAGGTGGGCTCTACATCGTCACCGAGTACATGGCCAAGGTGTGTGCCTGCCCCGCGATCCAGTTGCCAGCCTGGAGCTAAACACTGGGGTCGAGCCTTCCAGCTGCCCCAAGCCCCCCACCATACCCTTGGGCCCCTGCTCCCTCAGTCCCTTCTCTCCAACTGGTCTTTGAAGTCACCAGGGCTTGGCTTTTGTCTTGGCTCATCATTTATTCACTACGACCTTGGAAAAGTTGTGTCACCCCTCCAAACCTCAGGTCCTCATCTGTGAATGGAGGTAGTAACAAAGTTTCCCTCAGAGATTTATGAAGATTAAGAGATAATGCATGATAATTGCTGAGCACAGCGTCCAGTGTCCAGACTCTGATATTCCTTCAGTAGTGACGTCCTGACCTCTCCCCTGCCCCTCCCCTCTCCTGACACCTCCCTTGAGTGTCGCCATTTACCCAGCCCCAGGCCCACTGTTCCCAGGGTCTAGAGGGCAAGTCTGACTTATAGGGCCTGTTGGTCTGTCTGTCCTGCCCCCAGGGGAGTCTGGTGGACTACCTGCGGTCTCGGGGTCGGTCGGTGCTGGGCGGAGACTGTCTCCTCAAGTTCTCACTGTGAGTGAAGCAATGCCTGATTGCGGGGGGCGGGGGGTGGCTGCTATGGGATCCCTGTCTGAGGGGACATGTGGCTGGCTCGCCCCCAGAGATGTCTGCGAGGCCATGGAATACCTGGAGGGCAACAACTTCGTGCACCGGGACCTGGCAGCCCGCAACGTGCTGGTGTCCGAGGACAACGTGGCCAAGGTCAGCGACTTCGGCCTCACCAAGGAAGCTTCCAGCACCCAGGACACGGGCAAGCTGCCAGTCAAGTGGACAGCCCCCGAGGCCCTGAGAGAGAAGGTGGGCGCGCCTCTCCTCAGGGCCTGAGCTGTGGTGGGTGGGGTTCCCGGGTCACCCGCACCCCCCAGTTCCCAGGACCTGACACTGCCTCTCCCATCCAACTGGCAGAAATTCTCCACCAAGTCTGACGTGTGGAGTTTTGGGATCCTCCTCTGGGAAATCTACTCTTTCGGGCGAGTGCCTTATCCGAGAATTGTGAGTGTGGGCGCTGGGGCTGGGTGGGGCTTGGAGCAAGGGAGGGGGTGACAGGGAGGGGGACCGGCTGAGCCCCACCTCCCCGGCCTGAGGCCTAGAAGCTGCAGACCTGCCCTCGGGACCTTCCAGGCGCTCCCCTGGCCGGGGCTGAGGCGGAACTAGGGGGGAGTGGGGGTCCCCTCGGGGTCAGGCCTTACACCGATGCGTACCACCCACCTGCCCGCAGCCCCTGAAGGACGTTGTCCCGCGGGTGGAGAAGGGCTACAAGATGGACGCCCCCGATGGCTGCCCACCTGCAGTCTACGAGGTCATGAAGAACTGCTGGCACCTGGACGCCGCCATGCGGCCCTCCTTCCTGCAGCTCCGTGAGCAGCTGGAGCACATCAAAACCCACGAGCTGCACCTGTGACTGCCGGCCTCCGCCCAGGTCGGGGGCCTGTGGGGACTGAACCCAGAGAGATTGCGGACCTGGTGCCCCACTCGCTGGGCCCAAACCCGAACTGAGCCCAGCAGGACCGTGGGCCTCTTTTCTCTGTCGCCGCCTGCGCCCCTTCTGGCCCCCGGAGACCCCGCCTAGGCCTGGCACCTTCTCTCATGGACCCACCTGTGGGGCTTTGGGAACCCCGCCCAAGGGCCAAGAAGGGAGGAGGCTGAGGAGCCCTACTGGGGTCAGGCTCCCCCTGGCCTCCCATATCTCGCCTTCTTAGAGTTTTATCCCTTTCCTTTTTTGAGATTTTTTTCCGTGTGTTTATTTTTTATTATTTTTCAAGATAAGGAGAAAGAAAGTACCCAGCAAATGGGCATTTTACAAGAAGTACGAATCTTATTTTTCCTGTCCTGCCCACAAGGGTTGGGGAGACCAGGCCCCTCTCTAGGGACCCATCGCCCCAGCCTCGTTCCCCACCCCGTGTTCCTTGTCCGTGTTGCCTCGGTCGCCCCGTGTCTGCGCTTGACCATGTTGCACTGTTTGCATGCGCCCGAGGCAGACGTCTGTCAGGGGCTTGGAGTCCGTGTGCCGCTGCCGCCCGCCCACCCACCTGCCTTGTGAGATGGAATCGTAATAAACCACTCCATGAGGACCCCGCCGCCCAGTCTCGGCGCTTCCTCCGCCGAGCCTGCCTGTCCCACCCGGCCTCCCATCCCCGTGCCATCTTGTCCATCCCCCTGTCTCTGTGAGTGAGGCTGTGCTTGCCCTGTGAGTGGGGCGGGGTGGGGAGCACCGCGGGCAGATGTAGCCGCCGCCTTATGTCAGCTGCACGAGCGAGTGTCCTGTGTCTGCCATGGGAGAGCTCTCACTACCCGCCTCTCCCAGTGTCCCGCTGCCAGGCAGGTTTGGCCCTGAGGCCGCCCCGGGCTTGGGTCCCGTCCACAGGGTGATGCCTGGGCATCCCGGCCGCCTCTCCTGCCGTGTTGTTCAGGCCCTCAGCACGAGGAGGGCTGGAGCCACGGACCGGGGAGAAAGCCAGGCCTGACCAGCTGGAGATGGGCTCCCGTTGGTAGGAGGCAGGATAAACATCTGGTGCTTCAGAGGAGATGGTGACCTGGAGTGGGAGGGGGAAGGGGAGACTCTGATACGCTGGTGGTTCTCACAGTCCGCCTAAGATGTAGCACTGCCGCCCCGTCCCCAGCCCTGTGTGTGCCCAGCCCCGTGCCTGAGGACGCAAAGGTGGGGGGGGTCTTCCCCACCACACCTTGTGGGGCACAGATGGAGAACGCGGACCAGCCATGGGATTTTCTCCCCTCGGGTTCCCCAGGGCCAGTGGTCAGTGTGGAACCTCTGAGGGCTGTGGGGAGGCTCACCTCATTCACTGAGACAGGCAGCAGGGGTGGGGTTCCCCTTGTCGTTGGCACTCCGTGCCCGCCTTTCCTAGCCAGCAAGCCCTGAAATCCAGGCAGTTCTGACTTGGCAGTACGCCTCGCGTCTGCAGCTCCTCGGCCCGCCGTGGTCCAGCACCATCACCTCCCACAGCCCAGTGTTGCCACTCCTCACCTCCCCGAGTCCGTTCTCTCTGCACACAGCCAGACTCATTTTTCTAAAACTAGACTTCATTCAACAACAAATATTTGGATACCTGCTGTGTGTAGGACTGGGGTTCAGCAGTGAGTAAAACAGACCCGGTGGAGTTCACAGTGGGGAAGACAATCACATAGACAATTACAAACTCATAAGTGCTGTGAAAGAAACATACATCATGGGAATCGGGCCTTGACTGTAGATCAGGGAGGGCTTCCCAGAAGAGGCAGTGTCAGAAGGATGAACGGGAGGGTAAGGGAGTGGGTAGCAGCATACCAAGAGGGAGGAGCCAGCTGGTCCCTGCTTCCCAGAAATCACTGGAGAGGGGAACTGAGCCTGCCATAGGTGTTAGCCACAAGGAGGTTGCTGGTGACTTTAGCAAGACCTGAGTTTGCTGGGGGTGGATTCCAGATCACAATGGCTAGAGGAGGTGCGAGGAATGCGGGAAGGTAGACAATCTTTGGAGGAGCCTAGCGGTAATGAAGAGGAGAGGGGGTGAGAGGATATTTAAGGCAGCAGAGGCTTGAGCAAATCTGACTGCCAAAGGGAAGGACGTTTACCTTGGGATAGCGTCCACATACTGAGAGGGAGGCGGAAAATAGAGAGGGGAGGTCATGGTAGTGATTGAAGGTGGAACCTTCCCTAGAGCAAGGTCGGGCAGCTGGAATCCAGACCGTAAGGGGCAGTGGGTCTGCGATGGGAGAGGGACTGTCCTGGTGAGACTGCCAAGGACAGGGAATCACGCAGTGGTAAATGTCTGACACTCAGGTCTAGGGCAGGTGTGGGGGAAGGGAGCTCTGATGTATAGTGTGCCGGTGTCCGTGGTGTACCCTCTGCCAGGGTAGATTTCATGCTACCAACCTGACTTCACTGAAAGCAGGGATCAGGGTGGACTTTGACAATAGGCTCCCACTAGCTGGTCTGGAAGCCAGTTCAGGTTCAGAAACATGCAAAGCTGCCTGTGGCCATGAGGCCACGAGAGGGGCCAGGCAGGCGTCATAATGGAGAATTGCACCACGTGTGACGAGCAAGAATAAAGGGGCGGGCTTCCCTGGTGGCGCAGTGGTTGAGAGTCCGCCTGCCGATGCAGGGGACGCGGGTTCGTGCCCCGGTCCGGGAAGATCCCACATGCCGCGGAGCGGCTGGGCCCGTGAGCCGTGGCCGCTGAGCCTGCGCATCCGGAGCCTGTGCTCCGCGACGGGAGAGGCCACAACAGTGAGAGGCCCGCGTACCGGAAAAAAAAAAAAAAAAGAATAAAGGGGCAAGTTCCGGCTGATGGGGCGCTGCGGGAATGCAGGCGCAGGTAACGGGATGTTCCTTCTACCTGGTGGCATGTGAGCCCCCCTCCTGCTCCCATTCCTTCATTACTTCTCCCCTCTCTCTCTTGGTTTATGGTTTTTTATTTTCCCCCTCTTTCTTCCCTCTCATCCTCCCCTTGTGCTCTACTGGCAACTACTGGCAACTGGCATGTCATAGATGAGCGAGACAGAGTTCTCACCCAAGGAGCTTACAGACCTGGGGGAATCCGCTCAGGGCTCAGCTCTGTGCCCAGAAATCTGGTGGATGTTGCCCACCACCAGCATCGAGCCTGTGAGGCAGGGGACGGAGGCGTGGGGCGGCTTCTCAGACGTGTGGAGAGCAGTCAGGTACGGGGTGGGGCGATCCTGGCAAGGGAAGGGCACTGACTGGGCAAAGGCGGTGAGGTGCTTAAGTGTGGCCGGGATAAGGTGCCATGGGGTGTAGTTTGGGAGCAAGTGAGGCTGAAGAGAAATCGGGGCCCAGACCCCACCTGGCTTTGCAGTCCCCTCAAGGAGTTTATGCAAAGATGACCAAGAGCAATTGAAGGATTTAGGGCAGAGTGACATAGATCTGCACTTTAGAAAGATCATTCTGGCTGCAGTCTGGCTAGAGGAGGTTGTTGCCAAGATCTTGGCTCTCTGTGCACTGCTGCGGAACGGAAATACGGAGGCAGAGTTATAGAGGAGAAAGAAAGAGTGGCTTTATTTCTTTGCCAGGCAAAGAGGCAACACAGTAGTCTAGCGCCTCAAGAACTATGAGCCGCTCGCTCTTTCTCCTCCATAACTCTGTCTCCGTATTTCTGTCCGGCATCGGTGCACAGAGAGCCAAGATTTTGGAAACAGGGTGGTGGTGTCTGGAGTGGAGACAGGGAGATGGTGAGGAGGCTGAGAGGCCAGACAGGAGGTGACTGATGGTGGCCTGGACTAGGGAAGCTGGTAGGAAGTGGAGGGGAAGATGAACACAGTTGGTGTTTTACTGAGCTGAGTTCTGTCATGCCTTGTTCTAATGGATGTAGTACCTCACGTAACCCTCCAAACAACTCTTGGAGATACACGCTATTATTATCTCCATTTTACAGATAAGGAAAGTGAGGCTTGGAGAGATTGAAGCATCAGGTAACAGTATGAGTGGCAGGAGCAAACTGAAGAGCTTGCTGATGGCTGATGCGAGGATGAGGCAGAGGAAGGGATCTGGGGGGATTCCAGTCTCCAGCTTGATAAGGTGGGTGGTGCCACCCATTTCCCCTCAGCCCTGGAGGAGGATGTGCTGGGGGTTGGAGAAGAGGAGTTTGGTTTGGATGTGTTGTCTGGGAGTCTTTGAGACATCCAAGCAGAGAGGTCTACTCCAGGGTTAGACATTCTTTCGGGGCTGTGGCTGCAGGAGAAGCCAGGCTGAAAGTAGAGATTTGGGGATCATGGGCACAGCAATGGTGCTTGAAGCCATGGACGTGGACGAGCTTGGCCAGGTAGCACGTGGAGCCTGAGGAGAGACGTGACCCGTAAGGGGCCAGGGAGGGAGAACAGTGACCAAGAAGCAGCTCCTGGGATGGCCCAGGGCAGCAGAGAGGCAGGTGAGCCCTGGGGCAGGGGTTCTCAGAGCAGGGGGAAGAGAGGGGGTGTCCACAGCATTTCACGTTGCAGAGACCGTGTTGAGAATTGTCTGCTAAGCACAGAGAACGGGCATCGTCAGGCCTTGCTGGAGCAGTTTTCCTGGGAGGCGGAGGTGGGGAGGGCAGGAGCTGGAAGGGCTTAGGGGGAGGTAAGGAAGCAGGGCTGGAGGGGAGCCCACCTTTCCACAGCTTGGCTGTGAAGGTGAAGCGGGAGAGCAGGTGGAGGTAGCTGAGGGCTTAGTGTAGAGAAATGAAGTTCTTTTAGTGTGTCCTCAAATTTTCCATTTACAGCCTTGGTTTTAATTACTTTGTGGAGCTCCAGAATCGTAATCCTACTGGGGGTTTACAAAGTACAGTAAAACTTCAGCTACCCAGAAATCTTGGCAAACGAGCTACTCTGGAAAACCAAAATGTACTGGGATGAAAATATTTGAGATATAGGATTTCTTACTTTTTAAAAACTTTTTTTATTATGGAAATTATCAAACAGATAAAAGTAGAAAGAAGAACATAAGCAAACCTCACGTCCCCACGACCCAACTTTATCGGTCATCAGCTCAAGGTCAGTCCTGTGCCGTGCGCACCCTGTTCCCCTCAAGCTCTGGGATATTTGGAAGCAAATCCTAGATGTTACGTCAATTCATCCATAAAGCTTTAGTATGTTTCTCCAGAAGACATGAGAAAAAAAAAAAATCTACCACAATACCATTATTACTCCTAAAAATTCTAACAAGAATTCCTTAATTTAATCAAATATCCATTGTTCAAATTTCCCCAATTGTCTCATTTTTCCCACATTTAGTTGGTTAAAATTAGGCTCCAAACAAGGTCTATGCATTGTGTTTATTTACTCTGTCTCTTAAGACTCCCTTTCTATTTTCATATACTTTATTTGTTGAGGAAACCAGGTTGCTTGGAGGCATGAGCGTTTGGGAATATGGCAGAGAGCGGAGTATTGCAGCAGGGAGAGCAGGATAGGGAAGGATGGGGTGGGTAGGTAATGTCCAGACAGTGGGGACATCCGTCTGTGGGAAGGAGGCAGGATGTAGGGGCCCATCCCAGGCAGGGAAGAAAGTCAGAGCTGCGGAGGGTGGCCCATCCCAGTGACCCCTGAGGCCCCGCAGCCGCTGGGGCAGAAGGGAGGTAGAAGGATGGCCTGAGACG